GATTCTATGCTATTAGTCCTGTGCTATTTTTTCTATGCTATTATTTCCATGCTGTTATTTCTATGTTATTATTCCTATGTTTTTTTTCTATTTTATTATTTCTATGCTATTATTTCTATATTATTTTTTTTTCTATATTATTATTTCTATATTATTATCCCTATGTTTTTTTCTATTTTATTATTTCTATGCTATTATTTCTATATTATTATTTCTATATTATTATTCCTATGTTTTTTTCTATTTTATTATTTCTATGCTATTATTTCTATATTATTATTTCTATATTATTATTCCTATGTTTTTTTCTATTTTATTATTTCTATGCTATTATTTCTATATTATTATTTCTTTGTTATTATTACTACACTATTATTATTATTTCTGTACTATTATTTCTATGCAATTATTTTTATATTATCATTTCTATGCTATAAATTTTACACTATCGTTTCTACACCATTGTTTTTATACTGCTCAAAATAAAGGGGAAAAATAAGCCCTTCCACAAAATTCAAAGAATACTAAATAAACCGAAGAACTAAATTTGAAACAACTTTTTGTATTTTTCTTTTATATCTCTTTCTATATCTTTTTCAATTTAATTCTCGGGACGTGTCTGCATAACAAATAGAACTAGCCCACAAAATCGTACCGAAAAATCAAAAACTTTGAACTTCGTTCAAATACAGTTCAGTAATTGGAAAACCTGAAAAAGGTATTCTAACGAAGAAAATGAAAGACAAGCGAAACAAGTTCAATGAGACGACAAGGTCTCATGTATTTTCTCGCGGCCACGATGCTCGATCATACTAATCTCGATGCATCATCGTGTATCTTGCGATTCTCGTGAAAATACAACCGGAAACCGCCAGTCTTCTGAGACATCATCCGTGGCCGGCGGGGTCGATTCTCGGAATCGCATGGTTAATCGAGCGAAACCACTTCAAGTTCGATTTGTCCGGGAGGCATTTACGTTTCTCATTACCAGGAAGCAATTAATCGGCCAGAATTCGTAACGTCCACGACTTCATCGAGGGGATCGCGTTGCGAACGTCGTGGAAAGAGCAGTTTCATGTTTTATCCGCGTTTCTTCGACCGCACGCGAAACGAAACTTAGGCAGCGGCTTGTAAAATGTTTTTCACACCGAAATGCAGTGTATTCGAAAACCTGATTTGATTAATTTCAGGAAACATCCATTTTGTGTCGAATAATAATTCATCTAACGGAATTGAATATTTATTTTTCTGGGAAGTAATAATATATTCCTGAAGTAAAGTTATTAATCATCGGATTTTTATGACTCTAGAAGTTCATGCTTTTGTTAGGCGCGATTGTGAATACACAGTTTACAGGAAATAGTAATATCGAAATAAGATTGTTGATCATTTTTATGACGTTTAATATGATATATAAATTAATTGATAGTGCAAACGTGCATTTTGTAGAAAATAGTAATATTGAAATAAGGCTGTTAATAATTGAATTTTTATGACTACAAATTGCTACTCTAATTAGGCATAACTGTGAATATCCATTTTATAGAAAATAATACATTTGAAGTAAGGTTGTCAATCATTGAATTTTGATGACTAGAAATTCCTGCTCTACTTACATATGACTGTAAACGTCTGAAAAATAGTAACATTGAAGTAACGTTTCCAATCCTCGAATTGACTAGAATTTCCTACTTTAGTTAGGTATCATTGTTTAATAAATTTCGGAAGTCTATGATATTTGATTTATAATTATCTTTGCATCAAAAGTTTAAAATCTTTATCGCTTTTACAGAATCTATCTAATATTAATTACTAACTGAATTAATATCTATAAACCGTGTGTGAACCAGGCTGTGTTCTAAATATGTAAAATCTATATGTATATAGATCTTTAAAATTGATTGTACGTACAATATTATATATTAGCATCATGATTCCGTTGTAATACTAGTTAAGCGAAATTGATTGAAATTGTTA